GCAAGAATATCACAGGCTAGATGGTGCAAAGTTGTGTGGGTCCAATGGTGGTGGTAACATCTCCAGGGCTCTGGCAGGTCTCAGAGTAGCTCAACAGCAGGAAAGTGAAGGCAGAAAGAGAAGGCCACACCCACAAGGAGGCGTCATCAGGCTGTGACCTGATTGACAGGTTGAACTCCAACCCTACACGTCGACATTTCTTCAAGTTACCTGAAATTATTCAACTACCACAGTTGTCATTTATGTTGTTGAAAAAGGCAAAATTAGTTTTGTTTGTTTTTTTTAATCATTTTATTGGGAGCTCTTACAGCACTTATCACAATCCATACATCCATCCATTGTACCAAGCACCTTTGTACATGTGTTGCCATCATCATTTTCAAAATATTTTCTTTCTACTTGAGACCTGATATCAGCTCATTCCACCACCGCCCCCATGAACCCTTGATAATTTATCAATTGTTTTTCATGTCTTACACCAACCGCTGTCTCTCTTCACCCACTTTTCTGTTGTCCGTCCCCCTGGGAGAGGGTTATATATAGATCACTGTGATCGGTTCCCCCTTGCTCGCCCCACCTTCCCCTTACCCTCCTGGTACCACTACTATCACTATTGGTCCTGAGGGCTTTATTTGTCCTGGATTCCCTGTGTTGAACTGTCTTATCTGTACCAGTGTACATGCTCTGGTTTAGCCGGATTTGTAAGGTAGAATTTGGGTCATGATAGTTTGGGGGAGGAAACATTAAAGAGCTAGAGGAAAGTTGTATATTTCATCGGTGCTTTACTGCACCCTGACTGGTTCATCTCTTCCTTGTGATCCTTCTGTAAGGGGATGTCCAATTGTCTACAGATGGACTTTGGGTCTCCACTCCACACTCCCTCTCATTCACATTGATATGATTTTTTTGTTCTGGGTCTTTGATGCCTGCTACCTGATCCCATTGACACCTCATGATCACACAAGCTGGTGTACTTCTTCCAGGTGAGCTTTGTTGCTTCTCATCTAGATGGCCACTTGTTTATCTTCAAGCCATTAAGACCCCAGATGCTGTATGTTTTGATAGCTGGGCACCATCAGCTTTCTTCACTACATTTGCTTATGCACCCATTTTGTCTTCAGTGATCATGTCGGAAAAGTGAGCATCACAGAATGTCAGGTTATTAGAACAAAGTGTTCTTGCATTTAGTGGGTACTTGAGTCGAGGCCCAATGTCCACCTGCTACCTTAATACTTAACATATAAACACATGTACATGATCCTCATTGTTATATATCAATTTATTTACATATGTACATGCCTGTATTTGGACCTCTATAAATGTCCTTTGCCTCCTAGTTCTTTCTTCTTTTTCCTTTTGTCCCACTATCACGTTTGGTCTTCTGGTTTCAGTAATTCCTCTCCACTATGTTGCCTTTGAATAAGCCCCACCAAGTCTCTTATGCCCTCCTTGATATCAATTTTAGATCACTGTTGTTCCCTTGTCCCTGGGTTTGTTGACACCTCTCTTTCTCCCCCCCCCCACCTTCCCCTCTCCCATGCCACCTCCAACAGTCAGTCCCATTGTTTTCTCCTCCAGATTGTTTATCCCACCTATCTTATCTAGATAGACATGCACGGATAATAATAAGCACAAAAACAATGCGAAACAAAACATCCAAAAAAAACCTCCAAAAAATAACCCAAGGTCTGTTTGTTGACCTTTAGGAGTGTTTTCCAGTCAAGTTTGATGGGGTGCCACGCCCTGACCCCAAAGTTTATTTTTGGTATTCCCTGACGACTTCATTGCCTTGCTCCCCTCGCTGTTCTGGTATCTGTCCTTAGTGTTTCGCCCTGGTGTGGTGGGGTCAGATGGGCACAATTCTGCACTGTGTCTCCAGTGTTGTTCCCCATAGCACTATGGTTTAGTGAGGGACGTCATGCCTCGTGGTGGGGCCGGCCCTATGGTCCTCTGTGCATTGGCTGCTCTAAGCAGGAATTTCATCCTCAGGGTTTGGTGGGCCAGGATGTGTTCCACTCCCCTTCCCTCTTCGTTTGCTTCTGTGTGCTCTTATCAGACACGCCCTTCTCCTTGAGCTGTAGTTTCAGTGCTGTCCCCTGAAGTGCATTCTTCGGGCGTGGGGTAGGGGGGTGTACACATAGTTGGGATTGGGAGTAGCCCCTCAATAGAGACCTCTCTATTGGTTGGCTGCTTCATGCTGGTATGTTGCATTCACTTCTTGTGCACCAGGTTGAAGTCTATCAGTGCATTTCGATGGCATGTTTGATCAATTTTAAACTGCAGAATTTGGTAGCAAACTTTAATTTCTTTATCTTTAGCACTAGTGGTTGGTGTGTACATTTGGTAGTAATTTTGTGAGCTGATCTGCCTTCTATGCATATGCATATCTTCTTATCACTGACACCATTGTATTTCAGGACAAACCTTGAAAAGTTTGTTTTTTTTTATGATGAATGTGACACTATTTCTCTTCAATTTGTTATTCCTGGCATAACAGACCATATGATTGTCCAATTCAAAATGACCAATACTAGTCAATTTCAGCTCACCACTACCAAGGATATTGATCTTCACGCCTCTCATTTTGCTTGTAACAATTTCTAATTTTCCTAAATTCATACTTCATACATAATGCTTTCAGAGTGTTAGTGAATGTTTACATATTCTCATTTTGAGTCCTGCCACATCAGCCAATGAAGGTCCCCAAAGCTTTCCTCCATCCACATCAATAATATCAGTTCTGCTGTGAGGAGTCAGTTCTTCCCCGGCTGCATTTTGAGTGCCTTCTAACCCGAGAGCACCATATCCATCTTCAGACACAATCTCCATCAGTTTTGACTGCTGCTTATAAGGTTTTCACTGGATTTTTTTTTTGAAGTAGATCTCCAGGTCCTTCCTTCTAGTATGTTTTAGTTTAGAAGTTCCACTGAAATGTGTTCATCATGGGTGACCCTGCTGGTATCTGGAATAGTGGCATAGTTTTCAGTAGCGTAACTGGAGAGAGTGTATATGCAGGTAGAGAAAGATAGAGAGGGGGAGAGAAATGGTAAAGGAGTGCAGAAATTTGACATTGCAGTCTCTCGTTTAGCTATTTCAGACGCAGTATCCTGTGGGGAAGGAATTTGCTACCCTGATGTCTGTGCGTGCTTTACATCCCAGTCATGTACGCGTCCCATTGGACTTGCGTGCTTTGAGAGGCTTTTCTAATTCACTGCCGAGAGAAACCAATTTAGATAACTCAAAAGAACCATAGACTGGCCATTGATATTCCAGGCTCTGTGTAGTGAGGTGATGCCCAACACACAAATCTGAGGACTTCTAGAACCGAAGTGGTTGTGTGTGTAGCTGGTTTGAGTCCCAGAGGGTGGGTCCTAGCTGCTGCTAGATGTGGCATTTTTCATTTTCCAAAAATAGAGTTAACATGCATAGGTTAAACAAACAAACAAACAAACAAAAACAGTGTATGCATAGTCTAAACAGATAGGCTGACAATTTGATTCTCCTAAAGCCAGACAGAGGTTCCTATGAGAAATTTGCCTTGGAGTTTGGTCTGTTTTCTACTTTACAACGTGCCTTTGTTAGGTGAAAGTTTTCTGGGGGTTGGTGGAAGTACCTAGTCCACCTCAGAAGTGTCTTTCAGTTTGTGGTGAACACGCTAAGAACTTTTATTTATTTATATATTTTGCCGAAAGCCATGTCCACATTCATTGAGGCTTAAGAGACTCTGAGAAAATGTAGGAACAACTATACCACACCTGGTAACTACAAATTCAAACCAGCAAGCTAATAAGTGAGATTTGGGGCCAGAAAGAGATGCTCGATATAATTCAAAGAGCTATGGTACAAGGAAAGTGGAGCATATATTTGAGATGTTCTTACTCCTGAGAGTTTGTGAAAGTAGAGCCCGAGAGTACAAGTAATTCAGCTAGTACCAAGGTCTAGGTGCTGAACTCCTAGGCAACAAGTGATGTACCTTTGGAATCCCACTTCTGACACCAGAAATATAGAATAAAATATCTGACACTCTAGAAAAGCATAAATGGTGAGGTATATTGAGGAATAGAATAATTTTAACTGGGAGGCATATAGGAGAAACTATCATATTCTCCAGTGAGCTAGAGTCAGTGTCAGTGAATGGTCTAAAAGCAGACATATCTAATAGGCAGTTTTCTGATTGGTTGATATTTAGAGTTTGTGTAATCAGTCATAGGGTTATCATAAGATCTAGAAGTTTCTGTTGAAGGATTATGAATATTTTGAAATAACTTATTTTTCTAATCTGGAGACATCTTGGGGCTGGCATGAATAAGTGTTTTTACAAAAGCAATCTTACAGGGGGTCTGGCATAAGGATGTTATTCTGAGAACAGGTTTTTCAAGGAAAGACGTGCATAGTAGGTTTCCTGGAACAATGTAACCGCATTCCTGACCCCTACCATTATTTGCTAGGGGAAGGTACAGTTTTCTAAGAGCCCGGTTATGAGTGAAAAGCAGAAATACAGCAAAAGGAGAATAAATAGAGCCTAATCTGGAGCCCTGGTGGCATAGTGGTTATGTGTTGGGCTGCTATCTGTGAGGTTAGCAGTTTGAAATCATCAGCTTCTCCGCAGGAGGAAGATGAGGCTTTGTACTCCTGTTAAGAGTTACAGTCTTGGAAACCCACAGGGGCAGTTCTACCCTATGTTCTCTGGTCACTATGAATTAGAATTGATTCAATGGCAGAGAGAGAGAGAAAATGAATATGAATCTGGACCTGAGTCAGCCACGGAAGTTATGTCAAATACCTCAGGTTTTCGGGTTTTCTTACACATCTTAATGTATTGTATAAATTAAATGTGGGTCATTGGTATTTTGGCTGCTGGTTTAAAAGGATCTCTTAGGACTTAACTAGCAAAAGCATGTATTGTTTTTTAATTTAAAAGAAATGGGTAGTATATATAGTATATGGTTATAGTATCTATGTAATTGAGTATTATATGTTTTCCCCCCTCTGATTTACAGGTTCAGAATGTTCTTCATGAGTTTTTTCAAAATCCAGATTTCCAGCTTGGTAAGTCTGCCTATTACTGTAGTGTTTTTCTTTTCTTTTCTTTTCTTTTGAAGGGAGAAGGGGCTGGCTGAATTCAAATGAAGAGTCAGTACTGAGAGAAATATTACACTGGCGAACACATTTTGGTGTCTCAAATGTTAGACTTGTTTCTGGGTATATTTGACCTGTTGGGTTTTTTTTTTAAATGGCACCGGTTTTCCCCTATGAACTCTAGTTTTTCAGATCTATAGCATATGTCAAATACCACTCTTCACTCTGCTTTCCCGTAAAAAATCAGGATATTTTAATATAGTGTTAGTTAGCTTGAGGCAGAAGTGCACACTGGCTTTATTTAAAGTAGTCTATGTTGTTCTAAATATTTTGGTCAAGTTTTGCTTCATATAGTACCCTCTGATCCAAAGATATATTAGAACAGTGCAAACTACATGAACCTGGAATTTCCCACCTCACTTTTATTAGTAACTGAATAATAGTTATCCAATTTGTTAGCTTAAAAAGGGACCAGAAATAAGAGTTACTGAACAATAAATAAGGAGTTCTGATAGTCGTAGTGTTTGACTGCTAACCACAGAGGAGCTATTTGAGCCCACCAGTTTCTCTGCAAGAGAAACAGGAGACTTTTTTCTGTTCCCATAAAGATTTAAAGGCTCAGAAACTCACAGGAAAAGTTCCACTCTGTCCTGTAGGGTTACTATGAGTTGTAATAAACTGACTGTTAGTGAGTTTGGTACAATAAGGAGAGATTCTTGTTGTGAAACCTATCAAACTCCTTTATTATTAAAACGTTCAAGCCTTGTTATAAGATGATAGCACAACTCACAACTTCTCCACCTGTTCACACACACACACACACACACACACACACACACACACACACACTGCCATCAAGTAGATGCCGGCTCATAGTGACCCTACAGGACAGGGTAGAACTGCCAATGTGAATTTCTGAGACTGCAACTTTTTACAGGAGTAGAAAGTCTCCTCCTTCTCCTGTGGAACAGGTTGAGCTGTGATCCACAAGGTAAGCAGTTCGAAACGCACCAGATGTTCCACAGGAGAAAGACAAGACTATGCCACCACGGCTCCTTCTGCCTGTGCACAGAACCTCTTTTTTAAAAAGTTACAACTTTTCTTATAAGGAAGCATGAAGTCAGCCTCACCTCTGAAATATTTAATATGTGTTCTGAAATGTCTAGTGCATAATTTGAAGAAGAAAAATGTATATCTTCAAAATATTTATGAAAATTGCTATGACACTTTAAATGGCCCTCACACCTTTGATATATGTGCTTTTTCAATTTTCTTTTTATTTTTCACTCTTCTCAAGCTGTTTTCTGGTTTTGCAATATCCAACTAGTAGTCTTTCTATATATTGCAGTCTACCATGCCCCAAAGAAAAATCCTCTGCCTATAATCAATTCCAAATTATAGCGGCCCCATAGGATAGAGAGCAATTGTCCTCTTTGAGTGTCCAAACTTAAATCTGTTAAGGATTGCAGAATGACTGTGTGTAATCAATTAGCAGCCATGGGTCCATATACAGCTTTCTTTGGAAGTCCTTAATGTCTAATTATTTTCAAATCCTTCTTGCCTTTTGTCTTATCCTGTAATTTATGAGTCTAATTATTCTTTTATTTAAAACTAAGATAATAAATTAATAAATTACTTTAACCTAATATCTGAAAAGATAGTGGAACACCATGTCTATGAAACTAGAGCTGATATAGTCTATACATTGCAATTTTCTGAGTCAGTGCCCCAAATTACCCCAGGAACAGGCTTAAAAAACAAGAAACCAAGAAAAAAAATTTATTGGACTGTATGTATTTTTAAGCTTTTATAGGTGTACTTAGAGTCTCCTGTTGTTTCCAGATGGGGAATAAAGAAAACCAGGGACGTAATCAGTGATTTATAATACTAAAATGCTCCCTCTTTTATTAAACATATTTTATAATACCCTTTTACTATCCTAGAAAATATTACCTGTATACATAGAATTTTAAAAGTAAGATATAATAAAACTGTGATATAAAAGGAAAATATAAGAAAATTTCTTTATAAGAAAGTTAGATGCACTGTATTTCAATATAGAAATAGTTACAATTTCACTGGAAGAATAATGGAATAGTCAGACATCAGTACCTACATTTAATGATTGTTGATATGATGGTACACAATAATGAATTAGTATAAGAAAATAAGTATATACTTATAAAATTATAATTTACACTTATAAGTATAAGAAAATACTATTATATACAATGAGCCAATCTCTTTGTGTTTGACATTTTGAATAAAGGCAAACAGAATAGATTTGTATATATACATAGAATCCTCATATATAGGCATGTTGTATTGCAGTTCAGATATAGTTTATGATGTTACCTTCCACTAGACCATTTTCCTTTTTTTAAAAAATCATTTTGTTGGGGGATCCTACAACTCAGCACAATCCACACATCCATCTGTTGTGTCAAGCACATTTGTACATTTGTTGCCATCATCATTTTCAAAACATTTTCTTTCTACTTGGGCTCTTGGTATCAGCTTCTCATTTTTTGCCCTCCCTCCACCAC